AGTGTCCCTTGTTTTGGCCTTAATGTCTGCCTATTTTTTGCTCATTTGCAAGGTTTTATTAAAACGGATCTGAGAAGCTTGAAAACAATGTTAATTATACTGTTCTATATACCATTTTGTTTGGAAAATCATGAGCTTCAATAGCCTATTATACATAAAACATAAGAAACATTTGTTTCAAAAAATTTTTTTTAAGTAAAAAAAAACAATATTTTGGAAAATTAAAAAAAAAAGTTTGCGCTCAATGAAATTGTATAAATTATAGGCCTATAAATATTTGAAAATAGCCACTTTGTTCTAAATTTTATGAGGATTACAAATATATAATAATAAGTACTAGCTGTGTGCCCGTTCTACGCACGTGGATCTTATAGTAGTCAGTTGAAACCTTCTTATATTAAGATTAAGAACAGCAGTTAGTTTGCATATTTGCAGATATGCTGGCAAAACTATTATATATAAACCAAATACAGTATCTGACAGTTCAAGCCAAAATAAATGCTTCGCAATTAAATGTCACCCGGATCGTTATGGTCCATATGTCCAATGATTAAACTAAAAAATGTTTTATAGATCCATGAAGCGTAACCCTAAAGTAGGCCTATAATTGAAAGTTACTTTCCACATCGGTTAACTTAAACGTATTTAAAGTACTACCACAACCTCACCATTTAACACTTTATTCCGGTTGACATTTTCAGTATCAAAGGTGCTCTTGTCCATTCCGTGAAACACTGAGAAATAAGGACATTAATGCGTTACCAACAGACATACACACAACAATCCAAAAAAGGCCACGAACTATTGATACATAAACAATATAAAGGCGTAAACAATTCATGATGGTTTGCCCAACAAATGTTTTACTCAAATAGGTTATCATTTTCTTTGCATACCGGGTAAGCTAAGATTTGGAATCCAGACAGAAAAAGCAAAACTTATACAGAGTTAAGACATCACTTAAATTGAATACGGACGGCTCTAATAAATAAGGTGCAACACCAACGATAACTAATTTGTAAACTAAAGTGATGTGTTGGTACCTACGTAAAAATGATTCTAGCAGCTACCAACGGTTCTAAGGAAAAGAACCAGTACCTACGTAAGAACCTACCTAAGAACTATAGTACATCCGATCAATTAAATACATTAATATCTAGTCCCGAGGTTATTGATCTCTTGCTTTTGGATTTTCTCGTAAAAAGTTATAGGCCCCTAGCGTAAACTTATCGGTGTCAGTTTGAAAAAAAAAACAACCTTACCCAAACAACTTTTTGTTTTTTAATAGATTACGCATTCTCTAAACAATGATTAGTATAGCCTATCTATTAACATTAGAAGGAAATGTGACGAAAATCACACAATGTTGGGGTTTTGGTCATTTGTAATTATATTTCTTAAGTAGGTAGGCCATGTATTCTATGGAAAAGTACCGGTATCAAGGATCGTTGTCAAAAAGGTTGTTATGAATAAATATGTAGGCTTACGTACCCAAGATATGAGCTATGGGCCTATTGGCTGTATGGTCCAGCGATTGCATCACACGGTGAGTAGAAACAGAAAGTGACACATTGGAAAAGCGAGTTTAGCACTTCCTCTGTTAAACCTCTGTTACAATCACCCACTGCAGTTGTGATTTTTTACTTTACACTTTACACAACCGCCATTGAAGCGCCGTCAATGAGTGGAAACCTTTTTTGTAAGCTATTGGCGACGATCATTTCAGTGTCCAGCCCTATACAACACTGATTCAAGGTCTTCTTTCTGGTTGTCAAAACTCAAGAAACATTTTATACTCAAAGAATTTCTGGTTCCGATTTGGACAATGTCTAGTTATTTAATTTCATTTACGGTTACACTATTAGACTATATTATTGCACTTGCGATTAATTAAATCCGTTACGTAAGAAAAACGTTTTTAATCTCACTTTGTTGGGATTTGCTTTCAAAACGTGATTCGAAATGGTTGCGGTATTTGTAAACAACATTTGTAAACATATCATTGACAGCTAGAAAAAATAATCTTGATCCGAACAGCTGTTCGTTATTTCATAGACAATAATTATGTGATAAAAATTGAACGAAAATTTGAAAAAAATCGCACAAAACTGTATTTTTGAACGTCCATAATTTTATTTACAAAGTAGTGAGGCTATATTTAAATCGCTAAAGACACTCTCGCCAATCCAGTGAATACATTAAAATGACTTGGATCTTGATAGGTACTCTGGTTTTCACGGAGAAGATTGCGTAAAATGCCATCTTGAGTGTTACAGACAAAGGGACAGACAGACAGACAGACAGACAGACAGAAATAGAGATAGATAAGACTCGTTTCTGCTTCTTTAATGTATAAAACGTAAAAATAACCTAAAAGTATATAATTCTGAGCAAAGTACAGACAAAACTCTAATTTTATTTATATAGATAAGGAAGTAGATTTGCAAATAAATAAGTTATGGGCAAAAAACAGATTTCAGTACATAGCGTTTAGCTAAGAATGCATAGCCTAACCATAGCTAGGAATCTGGCTGACAATTTACATCAATATCACTAGGCCTACCTACTTCTTCAGGATCATCAACCAGCCCTTCAAAATCACTTAAATCTTCTTATAATGCACCACGTAAATTACTAGGCTACTTTTGATTTTTAACATTAAAACAATGATAAACGTAATAAAACACATCAGTCATCGGTCTGAGGTTAACCAAGCTGTTTACAAATACGCACGTCAGCTGTCTGCTACAATATTATCGGAACTAAAATGAAAAGCGCTTAGAGACAGACCTCCGGAGAAAGCTCTGAATCTGTCAAATAAAACGATACCTAACTTCATCCAGTTCAATCCGATTTTGTCAGTCATAGAGCCTTCGCCGTAAACAGTGTTTGTGAGTCGATGCATCGACAAATAACATTCGGAGGGTTAAATCGCCTTCTCTTCAGACAGACTGACAAGTGCTTGAGCAGTAACCATATGTTTCGCGGTACCAAGGCGCCACTTTCCTGCTCTCTCCATGGCTGCACTCTCTCCCGCATTCCCTTCTCTCTCCCGCACCCTTCACCTCTCCTACCCTCCCCCCTCGACGTTTCGCGCTCAACACTACGTTATCTTTATTTATTGCCTAACGTTCTCATGGTCATATCTTCAAAGACGGGTGGCGGATATCCGCTGCTTTTCTACTCATCCGGGGACGGGTAGCGGATATATCCGCAATAGTTAAATACAAGTAAAAAATTATTTTGACAGTTTGAAGTGTTCCATTGTGTTTATTTTATGTATACTTGTATAACAAAACACAAATAAGGAAAATTAATTTTTATTTTTTCCTATAATTTTTTCCCGTTCTAATATCACGATTACGCCCGTCCGGGAAGGGTTAAAAGATTACTTAGTTGAAAAAAGACGTACATATTAAAAGTTGATGGGTAAAAAATAATTGCACAACATAGGGTACTGTACCCTATTGAAGCAAAAAAAATGTAGGCCCTATTTCTGAACTTTCTGCACTCTTCTTCTAAACCATTCCTACAATCCTAATAAATGTTAAAATACCTTTAAAACATTTTTTAAGTCGCGGAAACCACCAAAAATTGTGGAAATATATGAAACTACTTTCTTAAGGCGCGGAGCACATTGCACACATAGTAACAAGAAATGAAGTGTTATGGATCTAACTTACTTCGGTTGAATTGAAACTGAAACAATAAATTATCTTATCTAGGCATGTGGGAAAGGCAGGTCGGGGTTTAAGTTTTGTGGGTTCATGGCTGAATTAAGTGTTTTAAAGTTAGGTTGGATTAAGAAGACGGTAAAGTGTACGTTATAGGGGATCGGGTTTTATTGAAGTTACACCTATGTTGTTTTTTTATCTTTTGTAATAGTTAGTTAATGACGAGACAATAAAAAAAATTCAAGCATTTTTTAAATGTTCTCGTCGTTTGATAACTCATTCCAAAAGATAAAAAACGACATGAATGTAACCTCAATAAACAACCCGATCGCCTACAACCTACACTTTAACTTACTTAATCTAACCTACCTTCAAAGGACTTAATGTAGTCACGAATCCTCAATAAGCCCATCCTGACTTGCCCATATGCCTTTTCTCTTATGAAACCGATTCATGAAACCAACAGCAAGTTTGGTTAGGTGTTAGTTTAGAACAGTTTTATTAATCAAAACATAAATAACATAAAAAATCATAATAAATTAATGATCACTTAAATTACGAGTAGGCCTAAGTTAAGTACCGTAGTCACCGGTCCGAATCAATCCGCTCCTTGTTCCTTTGCGTGCGATTTGCTCCGCGCCTTGAAAAGTAGGAACGTATATTTTCTCAATTTGCTTTGTTTTCCGCGCCACAAAAAAATGTTTTGAAGGTATTTTATTGTTTATTGGAATCTTAGGAATGGTTTAGAAGGGTTTAACCCACTGGGGAAGGAATTAATGCGCTACCTGCAGCACCCTCTGGCGGCAATTAATTTTACCGAATTTGTAGACTTTTATTCTAACTGCTATAGAAAGAAAACCTTAGGTAATAAATTAATAATTCTTTCACCATTTTGTTCACAGTAAAATTGTCTACAGAAAAGTGGTAATTGGATAGTCAAAGTTCTAAACTAAAAAATATATATATTATATAAAGATTATAAAAATAAAAATTTTAAAAACAATATTTTGAAAGTAAACTTGATGTAAAAATTCCAAGATTAATCCAGACACCAAATAACACTACTATTATAATGTTCAATCGATTCCCTACGTAGAAAAATCAAAAGTTGTGTACTTTTATAAGTAATAACATTTAAAAAAAAATATTTGTTTACCTTACCGCAGCTGATTTTTGGTGATATGTGGTTTCCATGGCAACACAAAATTGTTTGTTATTCGCTAAAATAAATGAGTAAATACGCAAATCAAGAAGCAAGATATTTATAAACATTATAATAGTAAGAAGAAACAAAAAGGGCGAAAAATAATAATAACTAAATAACTAATGGTGCTGCCTAGCGGTGACACGAGCGGCACTCGTAAGTCGGCCGCCGGGCCTGCAGCGGCCGTACGAGTAACGAGTAACGCTTGTAAGTCGGCACCAATGGGTTAAAAGGAAAGTCCAGAAAGTTTGGATTTACCCATAAAACAATTTATAATGATTTCACACAAAATATATAGGCCTATGTTGTACCCTACCTACTGAACTTTTGTCAGGAATCATTACCTGCAGCTCATTATGTAAAAATTTTAAGCACAGTTTAAGCAAAATGAAACGGAAAAAACTTGTAATACATTTTTTAAGAAAGCCAACCCCTATTATCGTAAATCAGGACACAAATTTTATCAATTTGTATAATACTAGGCTACACAAATTATAATAATAAGAATAAAAGTAAAATGAGAAAATTCAACAACATATAATACATAACACTAACTGTTCTTATTTTTACTTGTTCTTTAGTTCATTGTAGCCTTAATACTTTCTTTAAAATACTTTCTTATTGAATGGTGACCAAACAAAGTACCTAGGTTTCAAGCCAAGTATGAATGGAGATGAGTGTAGGATGAGTGGTGCGATCTTGTAGTCTTTCTTGTAGTGACTTAGGCCGACATTCCTTAGACACAGCTGTTAATTAATAGCCCATACAGCTAATGGCAACTAAGAGACCTATACAGTTTATAATGGAATCTGAACCACATTTTTGCCTTGGTATATACGAATTGGTCTAATTATCAGGATAGTACTGCGGATAGTCGTATTACTCACTCGTGCGGACGTTAATCCACACCAGGGAGTATCGCATCCATAGTGCATGCCTATAAATATCCAAAATTCGTGACCTCCTAGTAGCTGGATTACAGGACGACGCCACCCTTCTATACTATAATATCAGTAACATTTGCGCACAATGATTTCAAAAACGGGTCCTATGATTTCCTCCAAATTGTTAGAAATATCTGAGTTTTAGGCTAAAAACTTGTTTTTAATTTAATTTCAATTAATTTCATTAGGCCACTCAATCGAAACTATTCATGAAATACAGTTAAAAAGGCTTTAGATTTTACAATTAGCATACAAAGATTAGACTTCAATTATGTTTTTAGTATCCTAAGTACCGGTAAATAATAGAAGAAAATATTAAAATAACAAGAAAATATTGAATGGAAACTATGCCAACCCAGCAGATGGCCGTAAGTGCACAGCAGTGTTGTATGTGCACTATGTATCAAACTATCGTATTCATTTCATGTACTTTTTTTTGTCCTAAGGACGCTAGGCACGAGCCTGGGATTTTTTTTCACATTACTTCAGGCTAGACCTAGGGGTTGCGGCATTATCATGTACTGTACATAATATGTATTTAATAAAGCACTTTTCTATTCTATTCTATTCTAATCTAATAGGTAGAAAAAAATATAAGTATGGGCTACCTGTACAAAAAATTTTAGTATACATAATTGAAATTTAGTTTGTTGCAAATTGAATGAGAAGAACAAGAACAAATAATAGTGTCAATAGTCACCTAGCCTAAATGTTTAAAAATCAATTTTTTTCATTTTAGTTTTAAAAACAACCATCTAGTTTAACTTAAATTTTAATCCAAACTTGACGTGTTAATCAGTTCAAATTTGTTGACAAATAGCTACCGGTACCAAAATAATTACAAAACATGTATAGGCTACTTTGTAATGATCCATCTGTTTCCATAAAAATATACCAACAAACCTTCTATATTCTCATATTCATACAACTTAAGAATCTTGGGAGCAGAACTTGTACCTCTTAACCTCTGCTCTTTGAACTGTCAAATTGTATTTACAGTTCAATGCGGCTAAGCCCTAAGGTTAAATATAAAACTGAATTTACCTACATGTTAATCGAGACAAAGACGAATCAAAAATCATTAAAATCGGTCCAGCCGTTCTTGGTGTAACTAACACGACTTGTTTTATATATAGACTTGCAGAGTACCCGTCCTTCGTACGGGGTTGACGTAAAATGCTTATTGCAGTCATACTCGAGCTCTGCGTTTTGGGGGAGGACACAGTTTGATAAAATTTGCTTCTTTAAATTTACGGTATACTATAGTATTACACATCTAGCATAGCCATTATGTACTACCACTTCACCTAAATATTTTTTTTTTTTTTCCTAGGACGCTAGGCACGAGCCTGGGATTGTTTTTCACATTATTTCAGATTGCTATTGATATTGCTAGACCTAGGGGTTGCGGCATTATCACTTAGATAAAATCCATTGGTGACTTGGCGGGGATCGAACCCGGGACCTCAGGGACTGAAGTCCCGCGCTCTAACCACTACACCAGCTCGCTCCCCTCACCTAAATAATAGAGAAAAATAAATTGTTAAAAATTCGCAACTTACCACATAGTTGTGTAAAATATTTTATATAATGTATACAATTAACATATGTTCTTCTTCTCACTTTTAATTTCTGACAACAGCTGTTGTTTCATAACAATGATGGTATTCTTATGGAGAAATACAAAACTTTAAACGGCCCCAGGGCCTCACTCCCTTAGGGATGTTGCGATACCACTGTCTTTCCGATATTTGGTATCGATACCGGCTCAGTATCGGAACTAAAGTATCAATACCTTTAGTATCGTATCCATTCGATACCAGTGACGTCATATTCTGATTCACTGATCTTCGATTAAAGTTCACTCGTTCCAATACAGTGCAGCCAATATAGGATTCGAATTCAAGCTGCTAAAAACTACCTAAATATGTAAAACATTGATAAAATTAACCAAACATAGCCAACCATTGTTTTCAATTTTACCTTCAAGTATAAGTTCAAGTAGGCCTAAGCTTACCTTAAGTTCTAGGCCTATATAATTTATCTTTTCAATAGACAGTGTTATTAAATTACCAACGTAACACATTCGTGTTTACCATCAGCCTAAAAAAAGTTTTTTAGTTAAATAACTTTAAGTGCCATCTTTTTAGTTTATTTGATGTTAAATAGTCCATGTTTTCATTTTATTTGCCTTACACAACGTTGTTAACATTGACTTGTAACAAAAATAACTCTGCAACTAAACCCTTAAGTTGTATCATTGACTAAATATACGTCTGTAGGTATATATATAGTCAATGGTTTTACTTATAGTTATGTAAAGTTCTATGGATAGTGAATCATAATTTACTCAAACCACATATCAGACAAGCTAGATAAAAAAAATATTTAATTGGGTTAAAGTTTGTTTCTTTTTTGGGTCACTGTTGCTCCAGCCTTGGAAAATAACCGCTCAGAAGGCACGAGCGTGGCCATTTTACTCAGATTTGTCAGAAATTACCTTCCGATACTTACGATACGATACTGGCCTCTTGGTATCGATACCAAGTAAATATCGGATCAACCGATACCGATATGATACCAGCAGTATCACAATAAAAGTATCGATACCTACTGGTATCGATAGTATCGCAACATCCCTACACTCCCTAATTATTTCCCTAAAAAGAAAGTTTCCTGCACAACTTCAAGTTAGGCCTACGCTCTTTCCAATGACACCAAAAACATGGCAATCGGTTCAGTAGTTTCGGAGGAGTAATTGTCACAAAAAACCTGCTTGCGTATTAAATAAGTTTTTTTTTCTAAGTATTGATCAACTTTGGATTTCCATAGCGTAAAACTTATTGTAGCTTCTCTGTGTTATGTAGGTAAGTATCATGATTTGGATTTCAAGATGCAAGGGTAGTTTTTTGGGGGGAAGGACGATCTCCGTAGTTGATGTGTATGTTGAAATGAGGCTCCTTACTGCTTAATGGCATTATTTAAGAAGAGAATAGTGCTATTTAATTTGCAGTTCTGTAGTTGATGTGTATGCTTCACTGTATGTTTAAAAGGTTTTTAAAATAACTGAATCTCTTGCCGCATGTGAGATAAGGTAAATGATACAACTTTTGACTACAAGAAAAATATCTGATAGATACTGGTCCTGACTATATGACTGAAGGTTATGGATGGCCTTAGTGCAATGAGTGTGTAAGTGCAGAAATAACTTAGATTATGGTAATTATAAAAATGGTTGTGAAAAACTTTTTCTTTTGAGATCTTCAGTTGGAAGTCTAGAAACCCACAAAAAGCAAAACGCATATCATAAATGGATAGGCTAGCCTATTTTCACGGCCATTTTAAAATCCCAAACCCATTTCTGAACTTTACACTCCAACATTGTATAAGTTAAGGGCCATGAACTTTAGTCATGTGGCGATGATTGTCTGCAGCCAATATGTTTCTTGCATTAAAAAAACATAACACTGACCTTATCTCACATGCGGCGGTAGATTCAATCATTCAAAATAATTGTGTATAAACACAGCAAAGTGTACACAGTACACATCAGCTACAGAACTGCTAGTGGCGGTGTTCTGTTCACAAATTATGCCAGTAAGTGGCAAGGAGCCTGGTTGCCACGTGATCAGAGAAGCTATACACACAAACAGCTCTTGCTTAAAGAACGACCCTCGTTCGTCCAATGTACAAATATTTACCCATCTTTTGTCAAAACTACCAAAAATGGGTGTTCAATAAGGTTTTTTTATTATTTTAGATGAGCTGCAGGAAGCTTGTTCCCTTTGTTACCCGCCAATTCTCCACCACAGCTCGCAGACAAGCTGATGTTGTCCATCCTGGCTACAAGGAGTTAAAAGTAAAACAGGAATTGTTCCAGAAAGAAGATGGAGTTCCTGTTCATCTTAAGAAAGGTAGAGAAATATATTTAGGATTCCGCGAGATACATTTATGATTTTGCTGCGATTGCGGAAAAATGGTTTAATTCCGTCAATGCAGGAGATGTTCCCTAACCCAATCTCACGACAGCAGGAGATGTACTGGGTTTGGTTGCTATCTCGGTAGACGATGATAATGTTTCTGTAACAATGATAATGATATTAATGATTAATATCATTAATATCATTATTGATGAATATTAATGATTTTTCCACGGTCACGGAAGAGGATATAATATTCCCGTGACCTATGAAGATATGTAGGATATTGCTGCGATCATGGAAGATGATGGTGACATTTGGGTGCCAAGCCCAAGTGCAAGGTTAGGTGAAAATATCTGTGATAATGTTTACTAGTGTACATGTTGCTGGAATTCGAGCGATTGCAAAGTATTACAGGAGTTATTTCAAAACGAAGAGCAGTCATATTTACAATGAGTTTAAAAGTCAACTTAAAGATTACTGGTGTGTAACTTAGACCATGTTTATCTTCGTTATCGATAAACCTAAAGCATTCCAGCCGGGTTTTTCCTTCTCAAAATGCTTAGCTGTACAGGCAACACAGGTCATTGATAGAGGGCCAATTCGCCCAATTGAGAACGAAAAGTCTTTTTGGGGTTAAGGCGCATTTGTAACCTATTGAGATATATTGAGATTGTCCAGGGTCAGGTGCTGACTGTGATGAGGCGCCTATTACGCACCACTGTTCTGTAGCTGCGGTCGTTATCACGATTACGCCTCCTGTCTATGTTTCGTTGTCGTCGCGTCGGAGGCGTTTAAAAGAAAAAAAACAACAAATAAACAAATTATAGCTACCTACACAAAACAACGATAAGTGCACAAATTTATGTTACAATCTTGCTAATACGATCGGTCATAGCGACACAAAACAACGATAAATACACAAACTTAAGATACAACCATACTAACACGATCCGTCTTGGGGGTTATGTTTACATAAACTCAAATAGTAAATAAATGTACGCAATGCGTTTCATTGAATTGAAAAATAAATAACAGCAATTAAATTATGCAGCTGATCAAAATGTAAACAATTATGTTTTTCTTGAATGCCTAATATTTAATAGACCCATAATAATAATATTAACACATTAGCTACCAACTATACTCATCCCTCTGTTACAGAGGAGTGTAACGGTCGGTAGGGAACGTGTTAACACATTAGCTACCAACTATATTCATCCCTCAGTTACAGAGTAGTGTGATGGTCGGTAGAGAACGTGTTAAATTACCGGTACGTGATTTAAAATCGAGCTAGGTGCGATTAGTATAAAACTTAGAAAAAGTGCTGCTTTGGTATATTTGTGTTTTATTTTTCAGGTGTAGTGGATTCAATCGTTTACAGGTTCACAATGGGCCTTGGTGTCTTCGGAGTTGGTGCCAGTCTTTTTTCCTTCTACAAACTTGCAACCGGTCAAAAGTAAAAGATCTTCATCAAAAGATCGCCAATTGAAAAATAGGATAAATTATTACTTGTTAAATTTAAGAAAATAAAATTAATGTAGACCTAACGTAAATGGGAGTTTATTTACATTCTTTGAAATCATTAGGCCTAATTTGAGTTAGCATTAGTCCTTTTGTGTTCAATTAGTATATTAATATCTTACAAATTGCCATGAGTGACAAACAATGTAGGCCTATCCTACAAAGCTGCTTCAACTTGACTCTAGAAGAAAATATTTAATTTTTCATATCATGTACAGTGAATTATGTAATGGTCAACTTTTTAGTTTTTACCATGTAAAATGTGTTGGTCCTTGCAATTAGTTTAAGTTAATATTCAAACAGTACTGTTGAGAGTTAGTTATTCTTTTACATGTGGGCTAGTGGGACCTGTGACATTTCACATGAAGAAGATTGAACCATTGGCTATTGGATACTAAAGAATAGTATCAATAGTCAAAGATTGAACTGTCTACTTTAGTCCAGGCAACTTTTTAGCAGAAAAACACATTTATAAGCCAAATTCAGTAGTTGTCGGGGAAGGGTCCTTAAAAAAAACATACTAAAAGTACTGATCACTGGGGGTGGAGCTAAGGGAGCTAGGGGGCTCCAAAGGTGACTGTACTCTTTCTTACCTTACATAAACCTAATCCTAACACGCTTTGTGAAACCAAAGTATGAATCACTACCGTAGCCTTAATGTGTTTTGGCGTGCAAGTCATGTTTTCTGAGTTCAACTACTAGGTCTGAGGGTTATGTTGGGAATACCAATGTTTTCATTGGATCTTCAACTTTGAACTCAAAAGAAACTCAAATTTGATAACGCGCTTTATGTTAATTCCCCTAGAGGTATAACTTTAATGGTGTTTAATTTTTCATGACATTTACTTTCTAAAGATAATTTGTGGAATAGTGTTTCGATAAATGATATGAATGGGTTAGTGGTAAGTGCTTTATTTAAAATATGTTGTATTTCAAATGATTAATAGTGTTTCGATAAATGATATGAATGGGTTAGTGGTAAGTGCTTTATTTAAAATATGTTGTATTTCAAATGATTACTTACATTTTATTATACAATTTAACTCTTAACTAGTCTGAATCTCAATTGTTCAGTAAATATAAATAAAATGTATACAACACGCAGCACAAAGTGATTAGGGGATTAGGTTATGTAAGAAAAGAGTACAGTCAAGGTCAACATTTCGCACCACGGCCTATCTGGCGCACCAGCCAAGGGCGAGCAGTTTGCCTACACCCAATTTGAGACTTTCTCCACAGTCACAGAATGCTGGTTGCTTTGTCCGTTGTCAAGGTGTTCAACCAATCACAATCTGGACCGGTTGGTCAGCTGATCAAGGGCTGCCTCATTTGAATAAAATTAGCTCATTAACCCTCTATCTGGCGCTGGTCGATTTTCGACCACTAAAACGTGAGTTCTCAGTGGCGCTGGTCGATTATAGACCAAGATGACATGGGTCGGGTTTTTCTATTATTAAAATATGAAAACAGTTTTAAAACGCAATAAATCTTATACTATTAGAAAGATGAGATTCTGAGGATTCATTTTCATGCATAAAACATTATTGAGTGAGTATTATGTAGCGAGAAACGGTAGTTTGAAAAACTAGAGAGTTCAAAATAGATTTTGGCGGTGGAAAGTTTTGGTCACCTGACTACAAAAACAGCTGTTTTTGGTGATTGTCCATTAAATTGTATACAATATTAGTACATATTCTGAAACTACAATAAATTCCCTACAATTCCCTGTGAATCTATAAGGTTGATTGTAAAAATTTTATTTGTTTTTAAATATGTCATAAATATTATGTTTTTGTAAAAAAATCTTCAAAATTTTACATTCCGACGTAAATTTCTCCGACATTTTAGAATTCAACTAAATATAACTATATATTTTCAGAAAGATCTTTTTATTACCTATTGTACAGTATCATTTCATTTTTTGTTGATACATTCTATTATTTCCTACGTGACAAAAAGAAATTTGGTAGTTTTTCAAAAAAGAAAATATTTATGAAGAATTTATTTTTTTATAATTTTATTTTTATGAGTATTTAAAAAACATTGATATTTCTACGTAGGGAATCATATTTCACACAAACTTTACATTTAGATAAAATGTGTAAAAGAATTATTTTGTGGTTTTCTTGTGGGTTGCTTTTGAAATTTCTAATTTGCATAATCCAAAAATTTGCAAACCTTTTGCTACTACGCCTAAACGCATTGCTAGGAAAATAATATTTTTATATTATTATATTCTAAATTCATCACTGAAATAGAAAATATATATATGTGTGTACTTATATTCACAAATAAATTTTTTGTGGCAAAATATATGATACCACTACAAAAGCGCCAAAATATACCCGCCACTGGTGAATAAAATGACCGCCAGATCTAGGGTTAACTCATTAACTCTCATTGACATTTCCAACATAGATGAAAACTCATGTCCAATGCACCATCTCTCCTACCTTTATCGGATTTACACGATGCCAGTTGGCGAGACAATTGTCTTTGCCAATTGGCATCACAAGGTTTTGGAATTGTCGTAGGCCAGTCCAGTTGAACGCGGACCTGTTCACACATGGCCGACAATTACCTAGGAAATTGAGGGTTGGCACATATACATCAGCTGATCCAATTGTGGCGACAACTGGATTTTCGAGGGGTGGGGGGCCTCGCTGGGCCCAGCTCATTGTTCTCAGTCTACTCCCGTAGACAACTGAATTTCGGGAAAATTGGCCTGAAGTGTTTACACAAAGCCAGTAATTTCAAGCCAGTCAGTTGTCACACCAACTGGCATCGTGTAAACCCTCATAATCGTGTATCTGACCTCATAACCACAAAGTTAATATTTTTCATAAAAATATAACTAACTTATGATCTCAGCTTCATAAATAAATATAACTTGGAGATAGTGGGGAAGATACTCAAGAAAAGTCGTACAGTTAAGTATTGAACTAAAATTGTATTTAATGTTTTCTTTTCAAAGAGAAATTATCACAATATCAAAGCAAAAACATTTAAAGGTTTTAATTAGTTGTCTTTGGTACATGATTGTACAAACAAAAACGCATACCCCTTAGTTTTGGAAGCTATCTGAAGCTCGAAAACTGATTATAACAGACTAAAGATACAATCCAATTAATTAACCTACGTTATTCAAAAACTAAAACACCTTCAATAAAAACAGTGATAAATTTTTGGGTCAGTCACACTTAAGAACTAACAAAATTGCCTCATTTAATCACAATATATATTTACAACTTTAAAAATTAGATTTAAAGAAAATGCAGCACCTAAATATTACACCGCAACCAGAAGTCTAGTTCAAACTCTATTTCAATATTTGATCAAATGAAATGATTTGATGACACTAAACCAGTTTTATCATTCGATAAAGATATTAAAAATTGAACATTTCAAAACTTAGGAGAAAGGATTCATAAAATTGAATCCTGAAAAAATGTAAATTATAATGTATATTGTAGTCTCTAAAGTAACATTTATATTACAATTTACAAATCTATTAAAAATACCTATTTTCCAAAACAAAATTGTATTTATTTGTGCTGGTATTGCAATTGTTTATGATACATGAGAATATTTAACTGCCATCAGTTATAATGTTGCACGATAACATAGACAATAGACGATAACAAGAATAATAATTTGTTTATAATGCGTTTGGTTAGTAATCCACTCAAAACATGATTTTTTTAACGAATCTTGTAAGCCTGATTGAAGAGAAAGTTGGCAAGCCTTTATAAAGTAATTGTTTATAATTTCAGACAATTTTTTGTGTAAAAATAAAGATAAGCAGCAACACATGTCAATTGACCCAAAAATGTTGTTGAAATTAATCAGCATTGAGCCTATTTTCAAGATGATAAATTCACTATAGAATTTATTTTCTATTCCATTGTGAAATTTTACATTGTAAACTCAATAGCTTCTTCCCCATAGGGGAAATTCACTTATTAAAGGTAAACCACAAATCGGTTCACATGCAACATTATAACAGGGGATTTAGAAGAATAACAAAGACAGGTAAATGTACACTAGATGATACACGGAAAGAAGTCTGTGGGTTTGCCTGCTGCATTTTTCTTTGTCAAGTAAAAATGGTAAGAGACAACTTATCTACTGGGTAAGTTGTTACTTACCCAGTAACTTTGTTTGTTAACAAAGTTTGTATCAACTTAAACTAAAAAAAAAATCATTTTCTTTTTCTTAATTTTTAAAAATAATACTTTAAACTTCACTTTAAAAAATATAGTAGCTTGTAAATAACAAAATTGACTGTAATGCAACTTGAAAGTAATCATAATCATCATTTAGATAAAAGTATCGCGTTACACTTACTATTTTCGAAGTATAATGTCAACCTAATGAGGCACAACAGCTGTACTTCGTGGATGTTTGTAGGAAGACTCACAATCAGACCCCATATCACTCCTGATATCATTGTTCGCAGGATTTTATTACAATAAACATTTAGAGAACTAAACACTCATGAAACACTGAAATTTACAATCAACCACAGGTAGCGGAAAAGTCTTACATACAGTAGAACTCCAATTATCCAATTAATTGAGACTTTGATGATAAAAAATCCGGATGTATGCATTGTTAAAGAAAAATTATTTGAACCAAACAGCATTAACAAGAACAAGTATTTTCACACTAAATCATATAATTTGTGTCAAACGTCACTCAATAGATTCACCACAGATGGACACCGAATGGAAATTAACTTTTTTTGCTGATTTCTTTCTTAACGTTGACGTGATCTGGATTATAAACAAACCGGATGATTTGAGTTCTACTGTACTTTAATTTGTATAGCAATATTATGATATTTTAAACTAAACACACTTGAACCCACAGACTTCTTACACTGAAGTGTTGATAACACAGATACTATCAATCTCACTAAGAGTCAACTAACTACTGAGTCGACTATTATCAACAATAGGAGAGCGAGCGTGGAGACTTGAGATCACTGTACACCGTCCGAGTCAGAGCGATACATTGTCAGACGATTAAG